CCCCCAGGAGGATGGTTATGCTACAATCCTTTCCTCATTATCTTCCTGGGATTTTTGGCTTCCACGCACATGTATCTGGTGTGATTTTCAAGCTGCTAAGTCCAGGACTCAAACTACAGTTGGCCATGTGAAAGTCCAGTGCCTTAACCAGCACATCACCTGCTGACCCTCAGTTCCTCCTCCTAAGAAGCTTAAATATATAGGGAGACAAAAATATATTTGGATTTAAAAAAATTTTTTTTAACTATAAAACTCATGCATTCGTCACAGAGAGAGAGAGAGAGAGAGAGGAAGTGACGAACCACCCTCTTGGGGAGATGGCCACATAGTAATCCCTTTTCCTCCATTCTCCTCCGTTCTCCTTGGGATTTTGCCATACACACACACACACACACACACACACACCTGTTGTGATTTTCAAGCTGCTGGTTTTGGAACTCAAACCTTACAGTCAGCCTTGTGGGCCCTAGCACCTTAACCATCATGCCACCTGCTGGCCCTATTTGGATCTTCTAAGACATTTACTTGAAATTTTAAAAAAAGTGTCTAAAAGAAATCAGGATTGTGAGGAAAGGCCTACACTATGTTATTCTCTAAAGAAGGGCAAGCTTGCTGGTGGCTGCTGAATGGTCAGCCCAAGGGCAAAGAAGAAATGAAGATGGTTGAAAGGATACAGCCATAAAGGAGCGGAGCAGAATAGGGTGTACATTCAGAATAGAGGAGAGGACGGAGTGTGGGCTTGTAGATGGTGTAGATTCTGACTGTGAGGCAACATTGACTACCTGAAGGGAAGAGGTGATTTTGATGCAATACAGAGCCAAAGTTAAGACAAACTTTCAGGTCAGATAGAATTAGATTAAGCTCTGGTTTACTCGCTTATCGGTATATAGTTTTGGATAGATTATTTGACCTCTTTAAGCCTCAATTTAATTATCTTTTTTTTTTTTTTGAGAGTTTTTTTTTTTTCACTATAGGGCGCGTGCGCTCGCCAGACAGACAGAGAGAGACATAGAGACAGAAAGCGAGAAATCACCCCCCAGGGGGGAATGGTCACGCCGCAATCCCTTCTCCTCCATTCTCCTCCTGGGATCTTGGGCACGCATGCACATGCGCCCGGCGTGAGTTTTAAGCCACTGGGTCCGGGACGCGAACCGTGGTCGACTACGTGGGAGTCCAGCGACATAGCCATTACGCTAACTGCTGGTTCCCAAAGCCTCAATTTAATTATCTTTAGAATGAGAATAAAACAGCAAAAGCATTGGTATGAGAATAAAATATTATATATTTATTTATTTTTAGAGAGATGTTTTTGCTATAGGGCACATGTACTCACCAGAAAGACAGAGAGAGACAGAAGGCGAGAAACCACCCCCCCAGGAGGGATGGACGTGCCACAATCCCTTCTTCTCCATTCTCTCAGGATCTTGGGCACACACACACATGTGCCCGGCATGAGGTTTAAACCACCAAGTCTGGGTCTCAACCTTCAGTTGACTACGTGGGAATTCAGTGATGTAACCATTACGCCATCTGCTGGTCCCAGGATATTATATATTTAAAGAAAGCACTTAGCCCCTAATAGGTTTTCCAAGCGTGTTGGTTGTTAATATTATTGCTATAGAAAAGGCCTTGCTTCTCTAGTTGTTATATTCAAATCTGTGAGAAAATAGAGGATATCCAGTTGTAGCCAAATGAAAGGAGCCTTTTAATTAAGCCAGCAGCTACAAGAGGACTTGTGTCACTCCAAAGCCCCAAAGCAGGGGAGGAAGGTTTATAAAGGCAAAAAACAAAAAGGAAAAAAAACTACACGTCTAAGAAAATGCAGGCCTTAAGTGATGTGAGAGCAGTTTACAAAAGCCGAAAAAGCAGGTTACCAGGAAGGACAGTTATAATTGGCTGGACAGTTATAGTTAGCTGCATCTGCTGGTGATAAATATTCGCTTAGGAAGACAGGGATAGATGGCAACATTCATCTACTGGTGATAAGCACTCCGTGAGGAATTTCCAGGAGGCACATACGGGTCAGATTACAGGGAAAGGGAAATGGCAAAGGAGTCATATTCAGAATGGAGGTCTTCATGCTTCATAGTGACCATAAAGGCAGATAGGAATACCATGGCTTAGAGAAGAGGAAGAAGCAAAGAGAACCAGCAAGAAAAGAGAATTGGGTTGTCTCTTTTTGACCTGTGGTTGGGGCTTTCTCCAGAGTAGCTGAAGGAGTGCCAGCCCCAAGAGCCCCAGGGGCCCAGTCGGAATGCCTGTGTGTGCCCTCATGGGTCAGCTGTGGTCAGACTGCTTCACACCCTGTGAACTGCCCTGTAGAACTGTACTGCCATGTTTAAATTCTACACATGCACATGTAACCTGAAGGGGTAAACATCAAGCTACAGGGACAGAGTGAAATTGGGCCTGTGTGTATCTATGTCTGTGTGTATGTTTGAGAGCTTATATTTTATTACTGGGCACCTCTTTATTGTTTGATTTTTTTTTTTCATAATGAGAATGAATTCATGTGCTGGGTTATAAAAGAAATTGAAAAGAAAATCTATCTGATTATAAAGGAAGAGGAAAAATACCTGCAAAAACTGTTTGCGATCCAAGTTCTGGCTCCCCTTTGCCTGCCTGATGCCCCAGCCCATGAAGAGAGCACCAGATTGAAGATCCAAGAGAAAAAACGATGGAAAAGGTTGGCATCGCTGCTAGTCCCAGAAATGTAAGGCACCTGGTAAGCAGTTTCCAGCGAAATGGAAATTGCTCCTCTCTTCCAGGCACACGATCCAGGCCTGGAAAAGTTCAACCAGTGCATGGAACATCAGAGACCTCCTGGAAATGCTGAATTTGCTCCCAGGTGTCCTGAGAACCAGCGCCCTTTTCTGGGCAGCTTCGAGGCTCAGGAGCTAAAACCAGCACAGCCCATGGTGCCCTCTCTGTCCAGCCCTTCTTTGCCTTCAGCGGACCTCTCTCTTCCTGAGTTGTGGCCCTTCCCAGGCCTGCGTCCCAGCCCCGCCCCTCTCTCTGGACGCATCTCTGGGCCCCATCATCACCCGGCGCCGGGCCCTCCCTCCTGCCCCCCCCTTTCTCCTCCCTCTTTCCTTCCCTCCCTTCCTCTCTCTCTCCCTCCCTCCCAGCTCCTGCACCAGGAAACGGCCGGATCCCAGCAGCGGCCTGACCCGTGAGATCCCTAACCTGGCAGGCAGACAGGGTTGGAGACTGGCTAAGGGTGGGGGTAAGGGAGAAGCTGGGCCTTTAGGCTTTCCTGGAGGAAGCCGGGAGTAGAGATGGTGTCGGCAGGAAGCCTTTGGCCCTGGGTTTCCCGGGAGGGCAGTCATTAAACATGGATTCGATCACACAGCTGGTAGAATGCTCTGGACAGGGGCCCATTCCCAGCAGTTGCACCCCCAGGCCTTCTCAGGCCAGACCCTGATCCCTGGCCTTCTCTGCCTAGTTCTGATTGCCCCCTCCCCTTCCCAGGGCTCCACGCTGGCCGCTGGCCGGGAGGATGAAAGGCCCCAGCAGGGTACTCCTTGCCACCAGCGCTGGGTCCTAAGAGCTGCCATCCAGGCTGGGTGAGTATCCCCTTCCCCTCTGTTCTGGTCAGTCTTTTGCTTCTTCCACCTTTCTCTTCAGCTCCTGTCTCCTCCCCATCTTGTGCCTCTGCCAGCATCTTCACATTTTGCTTCTAGGGAGGTCCTAAGCCCCTTCCTCTAACCAAAAAGGTGTGTACTGGGCCGGGGGGAGGAGGGCTTATAAGGGCTTCATGGAGCTGTTGTTGTCTTATGATAAGAATCAAAAGTATTTTAAAAATAAATAATACTTGTTTTACATTTAATATGAATATAATGGCCAACCCCTTATGCCCTGGCCCCCACACCATATCTCTTAATTTCCTTGTTCTTGCCCCTCCTTGCCCAGTGATCTCTGGGCATTTCTTCCCCACCCCACTCCCCATCTCACTTAGTTGGAAAAAACCGGAAGTCTCTCTCTGGATCCCTGTCCATACATTCCATATATTCATGCCAATCTTTCATCCTTGCCTCTGCAGCCGCCCGGATGGCGACCCCAGCCTCAGCCCCAGACACACGGGCTTTGGTGGCAGACTTTGTAGGCTATAAGCTGAGGCAGAAGGGTTATGTCTGTGGAGCTGGCCCTGGGGAAGGTCCAGCCACTGACCCACTGCACCAAGCCATGCGGGCAGCTGGAGATGAGTTTGAGACCCGCTTCCGGCGCACCTTCTCTGACCTTGCAGCTCAGCTGCATGTGACCCCAGGCTCAGCCCAGCAGCGCTTCACCCAGGTCTCTGATGAACTTTTCCAAGGGGGCCCCAACTGGGGCCGCCTTGTGGCCTTCTTTGTCTTTGGGGCTGCATTGTGTGCTGAGAGTGTCAACAAGGAAATGGAGCCACTGGTGGGACAAGTGCAGGAGTGGATGGTGGCCTACCTGGAGACACGGCTGGCTGACTGGATCCACAGCAGTGGGGGCTGGGTAAGAAGCTTCTCAATTGCTGCTCTGCGCATCCCTCTGCAAAACTGCTCTCCAGTGGGGAGCACCTGGGGGCTCTGATTGGAGGCTGGGGGCAGCTGTGCAGGGAATGAGGCATGGGGCAGTCTCCCTGTTTGGGTGGAATCAGACTGACAGGTGCACTCATATGGGATCACCCTGGACTCTGCACTCCAGGCTGCCATGCAGTAATTACTGGATGGGCTCATGTCCCAAGCAGAGGACAGAATACACAGTACCCAGGGAGTGCCTGCAAAGAATGGTGTCAGGTCCTTTATTACACCTGAGTACATGGCATGGGCATTGGGGAGGATCAGGGATGGGTGGTGTCCAGGCCAGTCTTGGCAAAAGATGCCAATTCTGAGCAGAATTTTTTGCTTGTAAAGGTGGGCTTCACTTGAGGCAGAGAAGGCCAATGAGCTAGATGCTCAGGGTTGAGGGTGGGAGTACCTGGGGTCATCAGAGGGGCTTGCAGCCAGGAGAGCTTTTGCTGGAGAGGAGCTGGGTGTGGGGTAGTGGTTACAGTGGATGGAACTGGAACTCTTCCTCTCCTCTTTTCTCCATTCTTTCCTCTCCTGATATCCCTTTCTCCTCCTTTCTCTCCTACTTCCCTTCTCTCCCACAGGCGGAGTTCACAGCTCTATACGGGGACGGGGCCCTGGAGGAGGCACGGCGTCTGCGGGAGGGGAACTGGGCATCAGTGAGGACAGTGCTGACAGGGGCTGTGGCATTGGGGGCCCTGGTGACTGTAGGGGCCTTTTTTGCTAGCAAGTGAGAAAGCCAGGGCCAGGTGGGGCTAGGTGAGACTGTGGGCCGGGAGAGCAGGAACAGAACAAAGAAATGCCCTTGGAAGAAGTGAAGTGAATGGATGGGAACGGGGCAGGCATGGACAGGGGAAAGGTAGTGTGTGAGGGAGCTGAGCAGGCCAGGCAGGTGGTTTGAAGAGTAAGCTGGAAACATTGGGTAATGTTTAGGGATGATCAAGGGGTTAGGAGATGGAGTCATTCAGGGTTGGAGGGAGGTGGGAGGGTCATGCCATGGGTATGGGCACATGAAACTATCTGGAGCTTGGTTTGCTGCCCTCAGGAAGGTGAACTTGCATACGGGATTGCATCTCCATTGGAAGAGTTGGGATTTGGGGGACACAGAAGGCACATCCCTTTAGAGTGGGAGCTCAGGGCTCTGGGTGATAGGGAGAGGTGGCTGTGACGGTGGGCTGCTTGGACACACGTGTGCATGTGCACGTGTGCTTGTGTGCATGCTGGGCTGCTTGTCTAATCCAGTGGTGGCGGGATTCCTCCAGGAGAAAACTCTCCCTCTCACAGTGGCAAGAAGAAGGGGAAGTTCTCTGCCCCACCTTCCCACTCCTCCTTCCTCCTCCCCTTGTCCTGATGCTTCAAGGCTAAGGGACATACACTGTATCCAGTCACAGGGCTTTGGCACTGCTCCGCAGAGAGTCCCTAGCAGGGCTTCGGAAAGACGAGCAGTTCTGCAGCTGGCCTTGTTCCTTCATCATCCCCCTTCCTTGTGCATCACACACTTGCTGCTGCCTATTGGGCTCTGACAAAAGGGCAGGGCTGTGGCGCCTGGGTGGGTAGAGGCTTCGGTAGCTGGAACTGCCTGCTGCCCTCTCTTCCACTAGGGCACAATGGTGCCTGAAGTGTTTTCTGTCTCTGGGACCTCTGAACCCAAACTTAAACTCTAAATTGGGGCTCTAACTAATTTCCCTTTTGAGGGTGTGGACATAAATGCTGGTCTAGAAGATAGCCTTGGCCCATGCTGTGTCTCAGTGAGACTATTGATGCCTTGAGAGGATCATTCCAACTCTGAAGCCCATGGGTGTGAGGGTGACAGGCACAAATGACTGGCCTATTCTGTGTGGAGGGCTTTGGTGCTGCTTTATCTGGGGCCAGGTGTATGGGTTCTAGAGTACCTACTATAACCTAGAAGCATTTATGTTTCCTTTGATGCCACGCTATTTGCATGGGTGTTACTTGTCTGTACTTCAGAGCCTGAGGATGTTCATTGTAGAACTCACAGTCCTCTAGAACAGATCTGAGCATAGCTTTTTCTTTTGAGGAAGAAATGATTCACTCCAGATGCATGCCCTGAGCCAGACCTCACTGCTGCACTTTCTAAGGTGCTCACATTGCTGCTCTCCAGTGCTGACTTCACAGTGCTCTAGAACCCTGCCCGTCGTCCTGAGCACTGACCATCTTAGCTAGACCGTGGTTGACTCATGTTGGAGATTTTCACTTGGTCCCAGGATGTGGCAACATAGTTGTGCTCGCTAGAATGTGGGACCAAATTGGCCTCAGGTGTGTAGTCCAGATTTTTTGCTTTTGAGAGAGGGCTGCACTTTTTAATGGTATTTGTAGGGGATGGTAGACTGCATGTGCCACTTGGTCTGTTGTGAGTGTGCTGAGCCAGAAACTCAGAGCCGGTCTGTGGCGAGCAGTTGGGGTGGGGGGGTCTCTGACTTGCTCAGGACAAACTAGGCCAGTGGTTTTCAAACTGCTTGGCAGAGCCCCGAAGTTTCCTAGGGGTTGCCTCAGGAGTCCTAGGGGAGATGAAGGGGGTGGGGGCTGAGCAGGCTGGGCAACTTGCCCTCAGACAGAACAGCTCCCCTTGTAGCTGTCTTACATATCGGGGTTCAGGGTAAGATTTTATTTCCATTAAGGGGTTTGCTGCTGAAAATAAGTTGGAAAACCACTGACTAGACCATCAGCTCCAAATTGGAGCCTGTGCTCCCCAGGTTTGGGACTGACTCTTCACTCTGCCCTCTGCCACAGGACGCCTATCCCTGCTAGGGTTCTTGGGGGCCTTTAGCAAACAGGCAGCAGGGACCATGGGCTGGTTACTGAAATGCCCCACTCTGAGGCCATTACACCTGGGCGGAAGGAGAGGCTGTTTTCTGAAAGGGTAAAAGGATTGGTCCTGATTCCCAGAAGTATAGCTTGAACGGGACCACAGCGGGCAGTTTTGACCTGCCTGCCCTTCTTAGCTTGAGGAGCAATGGAAACCCCAGAGACTGTTCTGTCAGGGAAAACTAGGGACTCTCTCCTAGAGCCATATCGTTCTTTGGGATTAGTTCTTGGCCAAGAAGGCTGAGTATGGCTCCCAATTTTTAAATCCATTTCATTTTTTTTTTTTTAATGAGGGAAAGAACTATAACTGCCATTTTTCAAAGATTAAATAGGTGGAGAGGGTGTTTCTTGCTCTCCAGAGCCCACAGGGACAAGTAGGGACTTTGCTTAGGCCAAGGAAGGAGCGAAAGTAGGGCAACTCGGTCCTGCGATTATTAGCCCACTCCCCATTTATTCTAGGGCATACATACACTATTTTACTTTTTTAAATCACAAAACGGCAGGAGAACAGATTTGGTTAGTATAGAAGAAAAGAAAAAGCTCTATAAATATAAATATATATTCCTGTATTTTTATTTAATAATTTATAAATACCAAGTTCATTTGACTTTTATTTTTGTGTAATATGTAATGGTCGTATTAAAAAATAAATAAAGCCCAGAAGTTTAATGAGAAGGCCTGAGTAGGGTTTGTGACTTCTACACTGTGTAGCTTGGGGTCACGACATTGCTTGATCACTTCATGACCTTGTTAAAGGCAAGAATTAAAGTAACAGGGATTTGGAAATATGTTGAGATAATTAAGAAGAAAATCGGGACCAGCAGTTAGCGTAATGGCTATGTTGCTGGACTCCCACGTAGTCGACTGCGGTTCGAGTCCCGGACCTGGTGGCTTAAACTCACACCGGGCGCGTGTGCATGCGTGCCCAAGATCCCAAGAGGAGAACGAAGGAGAAGGGATTGTGGCGTGGCCATCTCCCCGGGGGGTGATTTCTCGCTTTCTGTCTCTCTCTGTCTGTCTGGCAAGCACACGCGCCCTATAGCAAAAACCTCTCCAAAAAAAAAAGAAGAAAATCAAAGTCCTTCCCCTACCTTCCTTACTCACCCTGCCCTAGCCAAATGCCATGAACTCCAACTCCCAGCCCAAGTCTTGCGAGGTGTGTGTTTATGGTACTTTGGTTCTTCCACAAACAAAGCAAAGAAAACCTGTCAAAATCTTCGTGTGCTAGTCATCAAGTCCCAAGTTGTGGATCACCTTCTAATAAGTACGTGAGAATGAGCATTTTCACCCTGATGCACTTCTGCCTTCTTCAGGCTCTCTCTGTCTGTCTGGCAAGCACACGCGCCCTATAGCAAAAACCTCTCCAAAAAAAAAAGAAGAAAATCAAAGTCCTTCCCCTACCTTCCTTACTCACCCTGCCCTAGCCAAATGCCATGAACTCCAACTCCCAGCCCAAGTCTTGCGAGGTGTGTGTTTATGGTACTTTGGTTCTTCCACAAACAAAGCAAAGAAAACCTGTCAAAATCTTCGTGTGCTAGTCATCAAGTCCCAAGTTGTGGATCACCTTCTAATAAGTACGTGAGAATGAGCATTTTCACCCTGATGCACTTCTGCCTTCTTCAGGCTTAAAATAAGTCTGGCAAAAACAAAGCCCCTGCTTCCTCTCCTGTTCCCCTGGAACACTTGGTTAATGCAGACTTCTAAATTGGATGGACTCGCCACGAATACCAACACATCTCTTTGTACCTCTAGTCTAGAACTACATCAACATCACGTCTCACAGGAATTTAATGGGAATTTCTAGTCTTTCTATATTCCAATAGAATAAACTGGAATTTGGGTTTGTGTTGAACTATGAGAAAATACAATTGCTTAGAAGCGTTCAGTGTTGCCTTTCTATTCTCTCCCTACAGAAAAATCTATGGGGGAAACCACATTAAAATCAGAGAACTAGGCACAGTGGTACATGTCTGTAATTCCAGCTACTTAGGAGGCTGAGGCAGGAGAATTTCAAGTTTGAGGCCAGCCTGGACAATATAGGTAGACCTTGTCTCTAATTAATAGACTAATTAATCAATCAGAAAGTGGCTTGGTGAGCATGGTACCAGGGGAAAGAATTAGATATTCTTAAGAGTTTCATCAGGTATGACAGTTAATACATTTATGTCCCCTACAGCAGGACTGATTGACTTTAATTGCCTAGTTCTGAAAAACATTTGCAACATGTTACAATATTATACAAAAGAAAAAAAAAATAGGGGAATGGTTTTTAAAGTAGGCTGTAAAAAGGAAATTGAAACGTTACAGTAAGATCACAACAAAGGGAAAATGAATGCATGGAAAAGCATTCTGTAAGCAGTATCCCAAATACTAAAGTTAGGCAATGAAGTCAGCTCGGACCTTCTTGGCAGCTGAAACAAATTGAGATTTACAAATCATTTTTAGGATTTACAGTAGCCTATCAGTTACTCATTAGGGGCAAAAAGTTTTGTTGCTTTTCTGAGAAGACACTAAATGATATAGTAGATGATGCCCCCTTTAACACCTAACAGCAAATACAATGCTTAGAAAGACCATAATGAGAAGTCAGAGAGTTCTAAGTCTTTTTTTTTTTTTTTTTTTTTTTTTTTAACACAGTGCATGTACTCACTGGAAAGAGACAGGGACAGTGACAGAGAAAGTAAGAAATCACCCCCTAGAATGGATGGCCATGCCATAATCCCTTCCTCTCCGATCTCTAGAGATTTTGGACATGTTGCTGGCATGATATTCAAGCTGCCGGGTCCGGAACTCAGACTGCGGTCTGCCATGTGGGAATCCAGCATTCTTAACCACCACACCACCTCTGGCCTAGTACCAAGCCTGTGCTATGAAGCTCATCACAATTTAGCCCAAACATGCTGCTCTGTGATGTTCTGGTCTGATATAATACAGGGCTAAACTTTAAACTACCTGAAGGGATGGATAGACTGTGTTCCCGTCAGACAGTTCTCCGAGAATGTTATTTCTGCAAATTGCAAATTGCATTTTTTATAAAATTGGGATAATACTCAGTTACAATTTCCAACAAATTGGTGGGTTGTAGACTTTCTGTGTTTTTACTTAATAGCAGATCCTTTGAAAACTTTAAAAGCTGCCTTAAATGTGGATAAGGTAAAGATATATAAATAAATTAACTATCTTAGGGACCAGCAGGTAGCATGGTGGTTAAGGTGCTGGACACGCCTACATGGCCAACCACAGTTCAAGTCCTGGACCTGGTGGCTTGCTTTCTTACATTCTCTCTCTCTCTCTGTGTCTCTCTTTGGTCAAAATAAAATAAATGAATGAATAAATAAAAATAAAAATTAAATAATTATTTTAAAAAATGAACTATTTTAAAATGCAACCAGAGGGACCAGCAGTTGGTGTAATGGCTATGTCACTGGACTCCCATGTAGTAGACCCCAGTTTGAGTCCTGGACCCGGTGGCTTAAATTCACTCCGGGTGCGTGTGTGCGCATGCCCAAAGTGCTGAGAGAAGAATGGAGGAGAAGGGACTGCCGCGTGGCTATCACCCCTGGGGTGGGGGGGTGATTTCTTGCTTTCTGTCTGTCTCTCTCTAGCGAGCACATATGCCCTATTCAAGCATCTTTTATGTGCTAAGCATATTTCTAGGCATTGAGGTAAAGTGAACAAATACATACAAATTTCTGTCCTTATGTTGCTTACATTTTAGTAAGGGAAATAAAAACAAAATAAGTAAATTTCATATGGCATAGGGTGATGAATACTATTAAAAATAACTCGAGGGACCAGCAGTTAGCGTAATGGCTATGTCGCTAAACTCCCATGTAGCTGACCGTGGTTCGAGGCCCAGGCCTGGTGACTTAAACTCATGCTGGGCGCATGTGCGTGCATGACCAAGATCCCAAGAGGAGAATGGAGGAGAAGGGATTGCGGCATGGCCATCCCCCCTTGGGGGTGATTTCTCGCTTTCTGTCTCTCTGTCTGTCTGGTGCGCCTATACAAAAAACCTCGAAAAAAAAAAAAAAAAAAAAACTCATTGAAGGAGAAATGGGAAGATATTGTTTTTCATTTTACATTGAATTGTCAGGGAAGACCTCATTTCTAGGGTGACTTTTTTTTTTAAGAATTATTTTATTTAACTTTATTTATCCATTTATTTATTTACTTAGACCAGAGAGGGATAGGGTAAGACAGAGAGAGAAAAAAAAAGAGAGAGCGAGAAAGCAAGCCGCCAGGTCCGGGACTCAAACCACAGTCGGCCATGTGGAAGTCCAGCACCCTTAACGATGCCACCTGCTGGCCCGTAAGGTGACTTTTGAGTAAAACCATAAAAAATAAAATTGGGGGACCAGCAGTTAGCGTAATGGCTTTGTCGCTGAACTCCCACGTAGTCGACCGTGGTTCAAGTCCCAGACCTGGTGACAAACTTATGCCGGTGCGTGTGCGTGTGTGCCCAGAATCCTGAGAGGAGAATGGAGGAAAAGGGATTGCGGTGTGGCCATCCCCCCTGGGGGGTGATTTCTCGCTTTCTATCTCTTTGTCTCTCTCTGTCTTTCTGGTGAGCGCATGAACCCTATAGCAAAAACCTCTAAAAAAATAATAAAATAATAAAATAAAATTGGAAAAAATATATTTATTGACATGGAAAGATGTCTGTGTATTTTATTAGGTAAAAAAGAAAATAGATTAGAAAATTTTATATACATAGTATGATCCCATTTTGCAAAAATATATGTATTCTTCTTTATATATTTGTATACTGAAAATTTCAGGAAAGGTATAGTTCAAAAAATCATTAGCGATTATCTCTGAGTGGTGAATTTGATGAGTCATTTTATTCTGTTGTTTTTTGTTGTATTTTCTGATTGTTTGTTTTTTGATAATTAAGATATCTGGTACAGTATATTAAAATAAGTTTTCAGGTACAAGGTTTTTTAAAAGTTGGGCCAGCAGGTGGTGTGGTTTTAAGGCGCTGGACTCCCCCATGACCTACCACAGTTTGAGTCCTGGACCTGGCAGCTTGAAAATCATGCAGGGCATGTTTGTGTGTGTTCCCAAAATCCCAGGAGGAGAATGGAGGAGAAGGCATTGATGTATGGCCATTCCCCCTGGGGGTGATTTCTCACTTTCCCT